ATTAATAGCATGTTGACCCTCCTTTGGCCTTAATGACTGCTTCAATGTGTCATGGAAGACTGTCTACTAATTTCTGGTATAAAGCTGGTGGTATTGTGCTCCACTACTCCTTGGCCTTGCTCTAATTTTGCGTTACAGTTCATCCCAAAGATGTTCTATTGGGTTAAGGTCGAGGCTTTCTGCTGGCCACTGCAATGTTCCGATGTTATTTTCTTCAAACCACGCCTTCACAATCCTTGCTTTGTGACATGAAGTGTTATCATTTTGGAAGGTATAAGGGCCAGTACTATTAATTTGCCACAATACAGGACACACAGAATTGTTCAGAACATCAATGTAGGACTCAACATTCATGGGTCCATGCACTGTGATCAATGGACCTAGTCCATACCTTGAGAAGCATCTCCAGACCATGATACCACCACCTCCAAACTTCACTGTTGGGACAACACACTCAGGTAATAAGCATCCTCCAGGCATCCTTCATACCCATATACGTCCATCAGACTGGAACAGCATGTAGCGTGACTCGTTGCTTCACAGAACCAATTTCCATTGATCCAGGTTCGGTGTGCCTTGCCCCATGCCAGTTGATGGTGTGCATTTGTTTTTGTTATCAATGGCTTGTGGGCTGCAGCACTTCCATGATAATTCATGGCATGCAGCTCTCGACGTGTTGTGGAAACATTTATAGGATTGCCTGTAGCTGCTCACATCTCCAAACACAGATTCTCTAGGATCTGATAACGAGATGAGGTAACCAGCCTTCTCAAGGTGCGTTGGTTTCTGTCAGTCAGTATTTTACGCCTACCTGGTCGTCTCTAGGGCTCATTGTCAACTATGGACTTCCATTTCTTCAGCACGTTGCCAACTGTCGACTTGGGAATGTTTAGTTGTTGCGCAATAGCAAGTACAGACATTTTCCCCAAATGACATCCAACTATCCTTCCCCTCTGAAACTTTGTTAGCTCTTTCTGTATACTCATCGTTCAGCATACAAGTTAGAAACGACTTCCAAGCAAACCACTGATCACCTTTATAGGCCAAACTGTTTGCATATTTCATCGTCACACCCATTTTCCAGCAGTCAGGGGTGTGTCTCATGACTTTTGGTAGGATAGTGTGCATATAAACTTATGACACATTAAAATACTGACAGTTAATGAAGTTTTCAGTAGCAAAATATATTCTAATTTAACATGAGAGATTTTATGGAATGTGTTTCACTTAGTCTCAGTTACTGAAAGCTAAAGAAATGTTTAGTATATTGATTATCAGAAAGTTTTGTTTTTGTAATTAATAGCCACAGAAAGTTGTATGCTGTTTGATTATCAGTAAGTTTTATTTGTGTAATTAATAGCCACAGAAAGTTGTATGCTGTTTGATTATCAGAAAGTTTTATTTGTGTAATTAATAGCCACAGAAAGTTGTATGCTGTTTGATTATCAGAAAGTTTCATTTTTGTAATTAATAGCCACAGAAAGTTGTATGCTAAAACCTTCTGATAATCAAACATTTGTATGATATTTTAGTTTTAAGTAGTAGAATGAGAATGATGATTTTGCTGTATTCTGATAATATACAACTTTTGTGATTAAACCATGCTTTTTTGTAAAATTTATTTTTGATTTATTTGAAGAGCAAAGGAGTTTTTTCAAACATGGTATAATGCAGTTGACTTTGCTGTGGTGATTGTAGCATTTGTGGTGACTGTTATTTACACAGCTGTAGACATTGCTGGATATGCAAAGTAAGTTTATTTTCTCTTCCAAACTGAACAAAGTTTTATACCTTTTGTAAGTAATATTCTTTGATAATTAAATACTTAAATTTGCTGAAATACTTATGGGATTTTACCATGTTTTGTATGTACAGATACTGGACGTGTTTTGTATGCACAGATACTGGACGTGTTTATATATACGTTTGACAACTTCTCTGTATATGATTTAGTCAGTATTTTTTTGTAGTTTTAAACATGATGAAATCGAGTCATAAAGAATTTAATTTATTCCATCAAGAACAAAGTTAAATAATATATTGGAAGTCTGGAACTATTTTTGCTAACTTTGAGCCCTAAGTACAACTTTGTTTTTATGATTTTAATGGTGGATTCAGCACTTCGTGTTTTTTCAGGAATGAAGCACTTCACACCATTTTGTTTTTCTCAATTTAACTAATCGGTGCACATTTTTAGTCTCGGATGGAACCAACGACAGTTAGTTCAGGCAATACTATCAAGTGGTTGTTGATATCATGTGATCGTTAGCATGCATTATTGACTGTTAAAGTAAATAAATATACATTTCTTGGTACAAACAGTACTAGGAAGTTGGTTTAGTTACACCTGGATCATGAGTTTTTCGGGCTGGCTCCTAGATCTGAAAAAATTTGTGGAGGCCTGTTCTAATCGCAAGATAGTTTTAAACTTGGTTGATATAAGTGAACTTAAAACTATTATTAACAGTTGTTGACTACTCAATGATCAAGAGCACTCAGAATTATTGAATTGTCCAAAAAAATGTTTTAACCTGTTGACCATTGATTAGAGACTATTAGTCTATTTATACCATACCTGGAAATTTATAATTTACCTATACATTGAGTATTTGTGTTAAATTACATATAGTTTTTTCTGTTAAGGTTAGTTGTTATTGGACGACTAATCCGGATTGTCCTCTTTGTTCGGTTATTTACTGAGAGGAAGCACTTGGAGAAAGGGGCTAGGCATGTAGTATCCCAGAATAAAAGAAGATACCAAAAAGATGGGTTTGATTTGGACTTAACTTACGTAACAGGTATCAGTACAATAGTGACAAATAACACTTTATCATTCTCTAATGTTAATTTGTTCAAATGAGGTTCTGTGTATGTTTTAAAGAAAGAATCACTAAATGAAGTGGAAATCTGTCGGGGTCCACATGATCTTAAAGAACATGAAAGTGTTTAATAATTATTATTTTTAGGTTTAATAGATAGATAAAAATCTTCATCGTCCATCCATCTATAAACTAATACTTTGTGTAAGCTGGTCTGTACCCTCTGTGTGAATGCAGTTGGTCCTTTGTGTTATCCTGTATGTAGCCAACTACTATTTAACACAGCACGAGGTCACAGCAAACCACTACTATTTAACACAGCATGAGGTCAGCAGCAAACCCCTACTATTTAACCCATCATGAGGTCAGCAACAAACCATTATTATTTAACACATCATGAGTTCACCAGCAAATCACTACTATTCAACACATCATGAGGTCAGCAGCAAGCCACTATTATTTAATACAGCATAAGGTCAGCAACAAAACCACTATTATTTAATACAGTATGAGGTCAGCAACAAGTTTTTTCAGCCTATACATTTGAAATAGATATTTGAACTATCAGAGTACAATAAAAAAAAACTTAAGAAAAATCAACAAACTGCTCCTGTGAAACATCTAGAAATGTTATCTAGAACCAATTACGAATATACTTAGTCAACCAAGTAAATAATTAAAAAATAAACATTCAACGTAAATTTTTATTTGTAATACAATAAGTACTCCAAATAAAAATAAAATAAAGTGGGATTTTCCTACCTCAATTGGATTTCTATAGAGAGACATTTTACCAGTAGAAGGAAAAGACATTGCAATCACCCTCTCTGAAATACAAGAAATTACCAAAGTTTATAACATTCTTTGTATGTCAGCTTGTTTCTTATTTCTACTATTATCTTACATTAAATTGACCATATCTTAAAAACAAATTTCAATAAGATTTGCTGTATCAGATAATGTATAATAAGAGTTTATCAACTTTCAAACGAGATGATGAGAGCAATACTGCATATTTTACAGAAAAGTTAATGGAATTCAACTTAAATATATACGTTCAAATATGCATATCCATATAGTGGCTACATACAGGGTAGCATAAAGGACCATGCCTATACATACAGTGGCTACATACAGGATAACGCAAAGGACCAAATCTATATATACAGTGGCTACTCACAGGATAACACAAAAGACCAAGTCTATACATACAGTGGCTACACACAGGATAACACAAAGGACCAAATCTATATATACAGTGGCTACATACAGGATAACGCAAAGGACCAAATCTATATATACAGTGGCTACATACAGGATAACACAAAGGACCAAATCTATATATACACGGGTTTGCTGCTGACCTCATGATGTGTTAAAATAATAGTGGTTTGCTGCTAACCTCATGATGTGTTAAATAGTAGTGGTTTGCTGCTGACCTCATGATGTGTTGAATAATAGTGGTTTGCTGCTGACCTCATGATGTGTTGAATAATAGTGGTTTGTTGCTGACCTCATGATGTGTTAAATGACAGTGGTTAGCTGCTGACCTTATGCCATGTTAAATGACAGTGGTTAGCTGCTGACCTTATGCCATGTTAAAT